ACCCATTGTCTGTCCAGTTTCATCAGATACATATGAGGCTGTTGTATCACTATTGGCTGCACAACCAGCCAGTAAAAGGAAGAAATATTGTCTATTCAATATAAGTACTAGGGATGTTTCGACACACAAGGGCCCTATTTTCTCCACTGCTTTCAACTGCAAGTATGAGCAGATCATTCAGATCCTACGAAAGCATTGGCTGATTTTAAGTTTAGACCCGTGGCTTTGCTTTAGTATTTCCAATGAAACGAGGGTCACTTTCAGGAAGAACATGAACCTTAAAAATCTGCTGGCTCCTTCTCAATTTAAACCGGTTGACACTGTTACTCTACCTATACATCAAAAACCTGGGAACTATAGATGTGGCTCTGTCCGCTGCCTCGCATGTCGTTTTATGTGTCATGGAAGCACCGAATTTGGATCCCCATTGAATGACCAGAAATTTATTATCAGCGCCAGGATCACCTGCAATTCCTCATATGTGGTATAACTCCTAACATGTACCTGTGGTTTGCTATATGTGGGTCAGACAACAAGAACCCTGAAAACAAGATTCAAGGAAGGGGGGCAATTTTACATAAAAATAGAAAATCCCCGATAGCAAGACACTTTGAGGCTAACCATGAGAGTAACCCGGGGGATATTACTGTTATGGGGATCCAACAGATCCCAGATAAAAAATAGTGCTTTGAACAGGAAAAAAGCAGTTATCTCTGCAGAAACATACTGGATATTCAAATTGAATACGCTTAACCCCTATGGGCTCAATGAAGACATTGAACAGATTGTCTAACAGGTTTTGTTCATTTAGGTAGACTGGTTGCACATGATGATTCTGAGCAGATCCCCCAGCAAGTGTATATATTTTTTGTTAATGTAGTGTAGGGGTTAAAGTTTAGTGATAGTGTAGGTGTTAATGTTAAGTGGTTGTGTAAATTAGTGTAGGGGTTAATGTAGTGTAGCAATGATGTTTAGTGATATAGTAGTGTAAAGTGTTGATATTTAGTGATAGATTAATGTAGTATATTGGTTAATGATTAGTTATAGAGTAGTGTTGGGGTAATGACTTAAAAATATACACGTGCATACCTTTACACATATACAAACACACTTTTACACACAGACAATATTTTGCCCTTTGCCAGAAACAGAACATAGTAGCCAGATTTTCCAACAAGCATAGCCTTGTACATCCCATGCGCCACAGGGGAAGTGATCCTCATCTTCTTATGGCCCTGTCTGGCCCCAGGTGAGGGAAGGTACATGCCACCTGCCTCTCTGTAGCTTTGAGATACTCAGCTGCATTCACATTCAGGCTGGAAGGCATGGGGAAACATGGCTTTAGATGCCTAGTTTGATAGCATCCTGAGCATTTCCCATGCCAGCTTAACATGTTGCAGGAGCATGCCAGTCAGTTTGGGTACCCCTGGCGGCAGAGTAGCCCAGAAGTAAGATCATTCATTGTTTGCCGGCCATCAATCCCAGATCAACTCTGCAGCTAGGCCAGAACAGCTATGGTATGAGGGAGGGGCTGAGGGTGAGGGTCAGAGAAATGGAACTTAACATATGGGTGGCAGTGAGGATATGGGACAGGTGAGAGGCAGAGAGTGTATGGGGCGGGACAGACAAGTGTGGAGCATGTAACAAGAAGATAATGGCTGCTCAACATGGCAGGCAGAGATAGGGTAGTTATAGTGCTGAAAGCACAAAAAAATGCACTCAAAGGAATTCTCTATGGCTTCTAAGCAATGTTGCCAAACAGAATTGCCATCCAATCCGTGAACACACATAACTCCTGTCTACAGCCCTAGGGCTTCATTAGTGACATTGCAAGATATTTTAATTGCACATGCAGGACTGCATTTCCCATGTGCAATTCAACTTTACACAATTCCTAGGGATTGAACACTGATTGGCTAGATCAGTTCCCCCAGGAGTGGGAGTAGAAAGTGCAAGCAAGAAGAAGCCGCAGGCAAATACGAAAAAAAAAATCATATTATTTACTTTTTCTGCCTTCGGAATGAGACTGTCTCATTCAACGGTAAAGATTAGAATGAGACATTTGTCTTAAAGTAATGCATGTCCCTTTAATGTATAATACATTCCAACTTTGTAATACATTATAATTCCTTTATTTCCATTAGTACTTAATCAGGTCCTTGCCACTCTCCCACGATCCTGACAGAAACCACAGTGTAGAACAATGGGTAGTCAAAACAAAAACGTATGTGACGAGGTTAGGTGACAAGGTGATGAATGTGAATACAAATACAAAAATATAAGTCCTGCGCTCACTCTCATCACTCCTGGGAGATGAATGTGGTCCACCAGATGTTTGTGCGTTCCATTTAGTCTGGGTAAGCATCTTGGGAAATGTAGATCAGACACCTGGGATCTCACAGCTCTTGAAGATGTATACACGAGTTTAGAAACATTTACCAAATCATTTGCATCTCCGATTTATGGTTTGCATGATGCCATTAGAAGCTGCATTCAAGGTAAATAAGGGAGAACTTGGAAAATAAACTATGGAAAGTAACAGGAAAATAACTTTGAACCCGTCATTCAGTGTTTTAACAGGCTTAGACAGGTACTGCATTTGGACATAGGTCCACACTTCTTTACATCACATCATGGCTTGTCAACTTCATGCAGTGCAAAAGAACAGCTACATCAATCAGAAAGAGAAAAAAAATTATTAGAAGTTTAAAAATAAAAGCTACTACAAAGTGTCTCCCCAGGCACCCTGAGCAACGTGCTTCTTATTTTACAGATCTGCCAGATACAACACAGACTCATTATTTCTGAACCATGAGCAAGATTCAGAGACTGGATACTTTTTTTTCTAAAATGAAGTTATTATACATCATCACCGAGCACTCAGACTCTGATTAAAACACTTGCCACCGACACAGAACACACATTTACATGGCATATACAAAGCCAATGAGTTGTCGTCAGCCCATTCACTGTCTAAAAGCAGAATCTTCACTCCTTGTATTCTGCCCAGAATTCTATATGTGTTGTCTCCAGCTTTTTTGTCTTTACCACTTCTACTCCAAGGGGGTTTCATGCACTCAAGTCATCTTGCTTAGGATACACTTTTTCAATACGGCACAAGAGCTTTTTTATGTTTTTTTATTTCCTTGAAGGAAATACAATAGTCAATGTTTGAATCCAGCTTGGGAAGTGAGAGTCACTTTTTCAGTAGTTGCTTTGTGCATTACTTTATATACCGCACTGGGAACAAAACACAGGTTTGAAAGTATATGAGCAGATAATTCCGTGAACAAACAGATATGACCAAACGGTCCCATGGTTCTAGATTCTTTCTTCATACAGAAAGTGTACTGAAAAGCACCAAGCTGGACACTATGTATAAAATCACAGTGAGAGGATAAATAGATAGATAGATAGATAGATTGATTTTGAGTCTGCATAAAAACGATAATTGTGTCATATAAATAGCTATTAGTGTTCTCAGCAAGAAATCTACAGAAAATGAGAAATCAAAGAAGGAACCTGTTGGGCATTAGCAGTTAGAGCCTCCTCCACCACCCCCCTCTCCCCCCTGTAAATTAAGAGTAAATGTACTAGGAATCAAATGAAATGCACAAGACCTATGGTAATTGTCTGCCTAGCTTTCACTTTGTTATTTAAAGAAACACTAGAGGCTCAGGAAGACAAACATATTCCTGACACTATAGTGTTAAAAACACCATTTAACCCCCTTGGTTCCCTTTAATGTAGTAAAATCTTAACTTTATTCCAGTCCACTGCTGGCTCTGCCCCGACCTGCCTGCTTAGCTGACATTATCAGAAGTGATGATCAGAGAAAATCACAATGCTTTCCCATAGGAAAAAAACAGCTGGTTTGTTGGAATTCTCCTAATGAGCTATAGCCACAGCTTGTCTTCATGATATCATTTTCAATTCTCTACAGTTTCATGTTTACTGTATAAAACACCCCAGAGGTTGAGAATTTTGCCAATGTCTCGATTTTGTTCTAGAATTTGTAATTACCAGGTCAACTCCCAACGATTCCCAGTCAATAGATGAACACTTGCACACTTAGGATTACATAAGCAAGAATTCCAGCCATCCACTAGCGAGAATCATTTTAGCAATGGTCCAAAATAAATGATTGGGCAAGACAATCTCATAAATAGCATAAACTCACTGCCCCTTCGTGTCCCCTTTTATATTAATACTTTCTTATATTCTTTCAGATAATTCAGCTTATGTCTAAGAAGTCAAGTGCAACATACGTTCAGGAAGTCAGATGTGTCAGATCTCCCAGATGGCTGGGCGGATGGAGATTTCTTGAAAGTTATTATGAAAAGCCATGATATGATTTAAGGGTCACGGTCAAGTCATGTCTGGCAAATACTGTTTGGTTTTGAATTAATATAAAATAATTCATAAGTAACAGACTTCAGTGAAATACCATGTTTCCTTTCTACCAAATAATAAAATAAAACATTTTAATAGCGGTATTAATTATGAGTAGAATGACAGCACCCGGTAACATTCATGGCTGACGGATCTCCAGAGCATGAATAGAATAAATAGTGTGGAAATATCTGATCACACAGCATCAATAAAAGCAGTACTGTCTTCAGTACGACAGTAAGATGACCAAAAGGTAGATTCCTACTTCATCTACAACTCCCATGATATTTTGTAAGCTTAAGGACCAAACTTCTGGAATAAAAGGGAATCATGACATGTCAGACATGTCATGTGTCCTTAAGGGGTTAAAGGGACACTCTAAGCATTTTAACCACTACAGTTATGGTGTTCAGAATGCCCCTTTAAGTGTGGCAAAGTATCATGAGAACTGTAGTAAGCGATATCTCCAACTGTTATACAACTATAAGTTCCATGACACTTTGCCAGTCTTAAGAGGGCACTCAAAACACCATAACTATTGCAGTGTTCATGGTGCCATGGTTTGGGGGCTTTGAGTTCCTAGTTAAGGCTGGAAAATTATCATGAGTGTTATAATAAGCTATATCCTCACCACTTGATCCACATTTTTGGGCACAATGCTTCTATGCTCATTGTAACGGATCACCTGGCACCCAGACTGGGTACCTACGTTGAAGGATGCTCCTAGCGCTTCCTGAGGATTCCAAGCATTGCAGCAGACACCACAACCACCGAACCGTAGAAGCATACGAATGCTCTCAAGCATATGAATGCTGTAAGCAGCTGAACAGGAAAAGCATACAATCAGCTTACACTCCTGGCAATCAGCATACAATCCAATTCCCCCAATAACGAGACGACACTACGTTTGAGGATCAAGCAGAACTGACTGTACTGGCACATACAGCCTCTTTTATTCACAATCTACAAACATAGTACTGCCCACAGGGTTTTGAAATACAACCAATCAATCCGTACAATACACACAGACACCCCACAGAAAATCCTCCCCTCTGCCTGTGATATGATTACTGAATACAATGGTTAATATAATTATCACAAGCAGAGCAATACAGTATTATAAAACATATCACAGGGAGCGCAAAACATGCAATAACCGCATAGTGTTTTTAAATGCCATATATCACAGGGCCATAGTCAGAAGGTAGGAGGCGGGCAAGCAGCCCCCTCCAAAAACACGTGGCGAGGTCTGTTCCGCCACACTCATAAAGTCGAATGTCATTGAAATTCTAGCATCAGGATAAAAAGAATGCTTTCTTAAAACATTCAACTCTATTAGCAAGATTTGCTCAAAACGTAACAATGTATTGTCTTTTAGTTGTTTAATTTACAGTGCATCTGTACGACAAGAATAGGATCTTTTCACATCAACAGTAAGATACGTACCTTGAAATATTCAACAGAAATACATATTGAACCAGGCAAATACACTTTGCTTTTACAATGCATTTTTGTACAATAGAACCATTAGGATATTTGTACTGCAAACCAATTCGAAGGCCACAAAGTGCAGATTCCAAAGCTCAAATGCTTGAGCATGAAAGGGCCCATAACCCAAAGCGATAAGCTGTGATTTGATGATGTGTCACAAGTGTTCTGTACAGTAAGATTGTGTAGAACAGTTAGTCTTTTCTTCCAGACATCTATTCCATTGGATGGAAAATGTCAGAGATAAAAAAAATATTATGATCACAGGATGCACTACGGATTTTTGCAGAACAATGTGAACATGTGTGCGTATGTGTGTGTTTCTGTGTATGTGTGCCTGAGTTTGTATTTGTGTATTAGTGTGTGTCAGCATGTGTGTATCAGTGTTTGTGTGTTTGTGTGTGCATCTGCATGTGTATATCAGAGTGTGTGTTTCTGAGTGTTCATTTTTGTATCAATGTGTGTCTGCATGTGTTTGTGTGTGACTGTGCATGTTCATAACACTATTAATGTTTGCATTGTTTATAACATTAGTTAATGTTTGAGGTTCTAGTGCTTGAATTCCTGCACAGATATTCTCCTTGAGCTGCTCAAGTATACGTGGTATGTTGACGTACACCCGCTCCTTCAGATATCCCCACAGGAAATGTCAGGTGAACGTGGTGGCCATTTAATCTGAAAATTTCATTAAATTTATCCGCTCACCAAACAGATGTCTCAGGTGGTCCATTGTGGTCCTGGCTGTAAGGGCAGTAGCCCCATCCTTTTGAAACCACATTTCAGGACGATTTTCCTCTTTGCGTGACAATAAATGAAAATAGAATTCCACTATTTTCACTCATTGTTCCTTTGTGAAATTACCCATGATGAATCTCCAAAGACTCAGTTATAATAAGTACCCGCAACAAAATAATGTAACCACTAACAAATAAGTTATTCACTGTCAAAGTCTCCTCTTAATTTTGGCTCACAATGTTTGAGGCATTACTGCCTCTTGAACTCTTCTCTACCAATTCTATGTATACATCCAATACAAAATGTATTTTAGTTCATGAAGCTTCTTCTTAAACTGTCCTCCACACCAGTGCTAGGTTAACTCTGCACATATATATGTTACCATACGTAGAGAGAGTGTAGATAACAGTTTAATTATTTTCCGCCTACTCTAGAGATGCTTATACAATGAAATGTACTCTGTGCACGTTGCAAGACCTTTCTGCAGACTGCAATAGCAGCCTGCAATGCTCTTTATAGTAGTGTTACTTACTTTCAACCAGGTAATTTTACTGACTATAAATGGACAGTATGTCCTTGTACTAAGGTTGTCTTTTATTATTATTATTATTATTATTATTATTATTATTTATAGAGCAAGTTCCATAGCGCTGTACAATGGGTGGACTAACAGACAGGTATTTGTAACCAGACAATTTTGACACACAGAAACAGAGGGGTTGAAGGCCCTGCGCAATGAGCTTACATGCTAGAAGGAGTGGGGTAAAGTGACACAAAAGGTAAGGGTAGGGTAGAAAAGTAGGTTGCTAGGATAGTATAACAGTGCTATTTACTAACATAAGTACCGGCAATAATTCAAAGTGAAATTAAAACTTAAAGCCATACTAGCTGAATTTGAAAAATTATCCCACTCCGCCATGCTTCCACTTCTTCTATTTTGGTCTAAAATATAAAATTTACTTTGAATTCCAAACCACTTTAGTAGATAACCCAGTAAGAATGTGTCCATATCTAATAAATTTAATTGAAACTGTTGCTAAATACATGTTTTGAGGTGGGAGTATCATAAATTAAAATGTATAATTCAGCCATTTTTGTGCCTTTGGAGAGTATTTCATTTTTATACATGTCTTCTCAGAGCGAGAATGTTGTACTATTATTTTTTTATATGAAAAAGTGCTCGATAATGAAGAGGTCAAAGAGGACAAGAATGAAAAATATTACTTTTGATATGTTGTACCATAAAATATACTATATTGCAAAGATAATTTGATAAAAGCAATTTTGTTTAAAATAGATGTAATTTTTTTTTATTGGTACTCACTAATTCTCTTCTTTCCGAACTGAACTGCTTGGTATTTTATGGGCAGTGGTTGGCTTGACAGTACAAATAACTAGCAGCAGTCGGATTTTAACAGGTTAGGGGAGGGCCAGTGGCTCTTGCTCATTGATTATCTTTAAAGGATGTCATTAAGGGAGGCTGGAGAAGGGAATGAAATCCCAGATGTCTTGTAAACTAAAATGGTTAAAGACATTTCTGCTTTGCAAAGTAGTATTCGGTCATACATGCTAAAATATATCAAAATGAATTATTTCATTATACGCAATTCTCTACTGAATGACTATTTAAGAGCACTTTGTTTCACAGTGATATAATTAACTTTGTTGGTAATTAAAGGGTTACTTCAACCACCATGACCAGTTCTGTTTTTAGAAGTGGTCATGGTGGTAGGAATCTGTATGTGCAGTGTATAGATATGTGCACTTTTGTGCCAGGGGCAAGTTGCACCTCAACACGTGTGACTTGGGCAGCCGGGAACTGTGTTCTGAGCTACCTAATGTCAATCCTGTGCAGAAATTACATCTGTCGTACATCTGAGCACAGTACATTGGCAACAGACATAAAAAGATTCTTTCTTGATCTCCATCCCTTATTTTTTTTAAGCTTTCCCCACCGTCCATACGTCCTTGCATTTACTCTAATTCTTAAACAAACATTTTGGTTGATTATTCTCTCCGTCCCTCTGTCCACCACATTCCCTCCCTCGCCCTCCTATCTCAGAGAGCGTGCATGCACTGTGAGCCAGGAGGACTGTCCAATCAAATGCTTCTTTGTCAGAAGCATTTGATTGGTCAGCTTGTGGGTGGCAGTGATGTTTGACATAGGCATGGAAACCAGCATGGGAACTTCACCCAGCTTCATTCTAGGTAAGTTATTCTTTGTTTTTTTACCTCAGTAAGAGGGTGAGACCTAATTATATTGGCCAATAGGGCATTCTTAATTAAAAAACAAAAAGAGGGACTGGAGTAACCCTTTAAAGGTGTTTGGATTTAGTCGTTTTAGAGCTTGATGGACCATCAAATTTTTTGTGAAATATTTGTACATTGAATACTTTGTATTCCTGGCACTATAGTATCCCTAATTGTTGTGCTTGTTATAATATTCAAATGCCTATTTTCTTTCTCCATAATTTCTCTTTTAAGTTCTCTTCCCTAGTGTGGTATGAGGAACTCTTCGATATGTTACACGTCCACAGCATAAGCATAGATGAAATTGCTCCTTCTGTCCTTTTGAAACATGCAATCAAAACTAATTTTTCACTTTATGAACTTTTATTTTAACATGACCTTGTATCACATTTCTTTGTTTTGCTTTGTTTTTTTAATATCATGTAATATAATATTAATATTTGTTATTATTTTCTCTATAATGTTTCACTAATACTGGGCTTGATTTAATAAGATTTTGCAATGATGTAATACTTTTAGAAAACTTTCAAAATTATTTATCTGCAATAATTCTCATAGACTTTAATGGTGATTTCTGTAGACAAATAATTTGGAATCTTTTTCTATTAATGAATCTAGTATTGAATCATTTGGAAACCTTAAAGGAACACAATAGCGTCAGAAACACAACATGTATTCCTGACCTTATAGTGTTAAAACCACCATTTAGGTGGCTTGCTCCCTTTAAGCCCCCTTAGAAAGCGTTAAAACATACCAAATTTTTCAGTGCTGTGCAGGTCTGCCGGTGCTGGCCCCTCCCCGATCCACCTCTTTGGCTGACATCCTCAGAATTGATCTCAGCCAACCCAATGCTTTTCCGTAGGGGGCAGAGGTGGGGCCAAACGCCACCCTGGCCAAACAGCATCTCTTCATAAATGCATCTCTATGAGGAAAGTTCATTGTCTCCATGCAGAGGGTGGAAACACTGAATGTCAGTGCTGCACAATCTGAGGAGTGGCCACAGAAGGTGTCCCTAGGCTGTAATTTAAACACTGCCTTTTCTTAAGCAAAAAGCATGAAGCCAAGCAATGTTCGTCAGCGTCTGGTCCTGGTTTCATGTCACCTTGATTCCTGTGAACTCAAAAATTTGCTCAATATCTTGACTCAGGGCTAGTGGAGGACAATTTAAAGAGCGGAGACTCAGCTTTACACACCCCAAGACAAGCCAGAGGTGGGAGTGGAATGAGGGAACAGTATGCAAGGCTAGGTGCTCATATATGTTAAATTGTTTTACTTCTCATTGCCCTCAAGTGACATCCCTAAGTGTTCTAGATAATTTAATAGCTACATAGTAAATACTGCTTATTTTAATTTTGATGTTATTTTTCTGGAGTTGTCTCCAGTTCCTCATATACTTTCTGTGACTGATTATACTCACCAGAACAAATACATTAAGCTGTAGTTGTTCTGGTGACTATAGTGTCC